CCAAAGTAATCTAACAACTCTGTAGAGTGAGCTTTAAATAAAATAATAAATAGAATACTTTATAAATTTTTTATTTATAATTATATTATTATTTACTTTATATTTATAAATAAACAGGGACTGAGCAGGCTGATATTTATTTGTTTTAAATTGTTTATTTAATTTAAATAAATTTTGATGATAAATATAAGAGCTCAAAGTAATCAAAGCTTCAACCTTTAATTTATTTTAAATAAAATTTAAAAGTCTTCATAATACCATAAGAAGAAACCAGAATATTGGTTTACATGTTTAATATATAAATTCAATTTAGAAGTATTCATAATATTAATAAAAGAGCAAGGATAGTTATTATCATTGTTTTTCTTTTTCTTTTAATTTATCTAGTTTTTGTTGGCTTTTTTTTTCTTTTTTTATTATCCTCGTTTATATTTCATTTGCTTTTCTTCCTTTTTTGTTGTTTAGAACTTTTTGTTTTTTATGTGTCACTCCATTGACTATTTTGTATCTATATAAGTGACACCTAACCAATTTCTGTAAATTTACGATGAAAATTTGTAAATTTTTATTAATATGGTTAAATAAAATTTTAAAAAATTAAACATACACACAATTTAAAATAGTAGCAACGTATCTTTAATCTTCTTTAAAGAGAGATTACTAAGGTTTATCGGTCAAATGTTGAAACCAAATTTTGTTCTATTTGCGGTAATCCCACACAATAATTAATATGAATTTGTTACATAATACAAATTAAGGTTTTAAAAACTTTTAATTTGTTTTAAATTAAAAGGTTTTTATTCTGCATAGAAATGCTGCTTCAGTTCATCTAAAGTCACACTTGGAAGCTTTCAAAGTGTATGAGGACCTTCCCCAATTTTATTATTTTTTTCAAAATATTTTTACTTATTTATTATTATCCCCTCCATAACAAGTCACTTGGGAGTAAATAATACTAAGTATATGGTATAGACTCCAACTTTAACTCTGTAGTCCTAAATTTATAACTTTATTAGACACTGGCAATTAGCTTATTTTTATAACTTGTCCCACAGTAGCTTATAACTTTAATTACTTAAAATTTTTTGCCGAAGCCAAAGATTCGGCAAAAAATTGACCTGGCTTCGGCCGAACCGAAGCTTCGGCAAAATTGCCGAAGCTTCGGCACGCCGAAGCCGAAGCCGAAGCTTCGGTACATCCCTAGTAAAAACTAAATAATTATTAAGATATATTTCAATTACATAACTAAAAGTTTCACGCAATAGCGATCATCAGATGTAACAACAATAAAAAGTAACAACAAAAATTATATACAAAAAATGCTATGGAGTGTTTTGATGACATTAAAGTTTTTTTTTTTAAATTTCTAATAAAAAACTTTAATGTCATCAAAGCGCGGACACTCCATAGCATTTTTTGTATATAATTTTTGTCGTTACTTTCTATTGTTGTTACATCTGATGATCGCTATTGCGTGAAACTTTTAGTTATGTAATTGAAATATATCTTAATAATTATTTAGTTTTCACTATATATATATATATATATATATATATATATATATATATATATATATATATATATATATATATATATATATATATATATATATATATATATATATATATATATATATACTGTGGCGGAACTACTGGACGCAGGACCCTGCGTTGCGGGGGGGTCTACCAGCTATAGGGGGCCCTCATATAAAAAAAGTTATACTCTCAATAATATTTATACTATAAAACTCTTTTCCGCAAAAAAAACATTCTTTTGCGGGGGGGCCCAAATTTTGAAGTTCTGCCACTGTATATATATACATATATATATATATATATATATATATATATATATATATATATATATATATATATATATATATATATATATATATATATATATATATATATATATATATATATATATATATATATATATATATATATATATATATATATATATATATAGAAAGACCTACGTTGGTTGTTTCATTCTTGGTGGTTTTTATTATATCATAATTTATTATATATATATACATAATTTATTATATTATATTATAATTTATTATATATATAAAAATATATATACAAACAAATATATACATATAGGAAGCCCTAAAATGCTTCATTATTTAATTTCTAACAATTGTACCGTTTACGTGTATTTAACCACAGTGTTAATAAGACAAAGAAAAAAATAATCCTTGGGTTACTTCAGATATTAAAAACTTAATCCGATCAAAAAAATCCGCTTGGTATATTAACTGCTCAACTAACTGGAAGAATAATAAACTTAAAATAAATTAAAATCTTCTTAATCGTTCGTAAAAGCTGAAATATTTAAAGCAAAAGAGCACATAAAAAAAGTAATATTAAAATTCCAGAAAAACCCAAAATTCTTCTACAAATATGTTAACAAACAGCTAAAAAATAAAGATTGAGATTGTTCTCTGAAAGATATTTTAGTTGAACTTTGTAGTTATACTTCTGAACTCTTAATTCAAATCTATGTTTACACTTAAAAGCTCAGAATATTTTCCATCGTAAAAGTGATATTAAACTTTCATGAACTTATAATGACAACTTGTTGTTTATTTTTTTTAATTGGTTTTTTCTATTTTAATTTAACTTAGGTTTTTCTATTTCAGACATTATTAAGAAACTTACCGATCTAAACCACTATAAATCTTTTTTCTACTTACAAAAATCTTTCATAAATCATTTAACTCTGGAACACTACCCGCTCTCTGGAAACTAGCGAATTTTAGTTTGGTCTCAACAAAAAAGCAAAGATAAATTGCTTGATAAAAACTATTGTTCTATTCCAATAACCTCTGTTGCCTGTAAAACCTTCAAAAAACTTGTTATAAACAAAACAACAACGAAAAAAGAGCGTGATTTTTTCATCTAACGCTAAATAGAGCACTCAAACAGTTGCCTCTAAAACCTTACAAATTTTTGGTATAAAAAAAAGACATTAAATTTTATTGATGAAAATATGGTTCTTAAGTTATATAAGGTGTTTATAAGGTCACACCATAAATATACAGTGTCTATTTGGGCTTCTTATAAACTTGCTGATAAAACCATAGTTGAATCTGTTTAACTCAAAGCAACAAACAGGGCTTCCAGCCATCTTTAATACTGTGAAAAACTAAGAAGAACAAACTTACCATCCTTGACTTAATGTTTGGGCTAGGGTAACAATAAGGTTAGGTTTTCCGCACCTTTTTTTTTTTTTTTTTTCGTCATTTGACACATTTTACAATGTTAACCTTACATTCAAATAAATTTATACAAATGCAAGCTGACTGGGGCAAGTAGAAGACAAAATGTCTTATCATCAAGCCCCTTCGTGAAAATAATAAAAAAAAAAATTTACAATTTCCAATAATATATAAAAGAGTGAAATTAAAAAAAGTTTAAAAAACCAAATTAAAAAGTTTGAAAAAATCAAAAAGTTTAAAAAATAATTTTTAAGTTTGACAAAACTAAAAAGTTTGAAAATAATAAAAAATAAAAAAGTTTGAAAAAATAATTTACAAATCCGTACATATGCGTATACATATCCAATAAACTTCATAATATATATTTAAATATACAAAAGATATTTTGAATTGAAAAAGATTCCGAACATTTTATAGATTTAAGTTCATCTACTCATATTTCTTTTTAAAGCAAAATTAAAACAGACAAACAAAAAGAAACAAAAACACTTTATTCCCGCATTTTACACATTGAAAATTTAGGCATTTTACTTGTGTCGACAAAAACATATTGTGATATAAGTTGTTCATTTATAAATATAATAGCAGCAATTAAGCTATATTTGACAATACCCGTTAACATGGCAACTGTATATATACATAAACATATTTTAAATACAATAACAATGGATAGACCAAGATCTGGCTTATACTCATTGGTATCATTAGCTTTAATCCTATTTGTATTTACACGAACTATTTTTATTCGTGGAATAATGTGGGTACTGGTAGTTACTATTTCTGACAGATACTGCATGAAATAAACTTGGTAAGGCTGAGAATACTGTTAAGGTTGCCACAATTTCTTTTTTTAAAATACCAAAATACTTTTGTGTTTTATCAATTTGATCATTTTTTATTTCATTTGTTTTATATTCTTCAATAGATTTCAAATATCAAGTTTTATTTAAGTGTTCAAAAATTATCACCTTGTAAAGTTTCCAAAATCTCTCGAAGTGAGGGGGTTGCAAAAAATTGATCCCTGGTTATTCTTGTTTATAATTTCAAATAAATGGATAAATCTCACAGTATAAGAAAAAAACATTCACTATATACTAACTATTATATTTTCTATATTAACAAAAATAATCTTTTTAAGTTACAAAACTTAAAAACGTAATAATTTTTTTAATTTATTAAGAATATTTTTAATGTTACTGAAAATTTGTATTAATTTATTAATAAAAAAATTTCTATTTATTATTAACTAAAATTAGCAACTAAAATTTTAAATAATTCTTAGTATTCGTGTTAAATAATTTTTTAATCTGGTCTATAGAAGAAGTATTTTCAATCGACTACGGTTTATAAAAAGTTTTATCAAAACTCAATATGTAAAAGTTTTTGTTTGCGATTAATTCAATTAAATTTGCCCTCCCGGAAACAAACGTTTCAGCATACTATTTTACTTTTCAAACAAAGGCAATAAACGCATTGCTGCGTTAGTTCTTGTAAGTTGGAACAAAAAATTTTAAAAAGTTTGTGTTAAATATTGTTCATTAAAGCGTAAAGATTGGTCTAAGCGCTCTAAAATGGTCATTAAATTTGCACGGGTGAATGCTTTGTTTTCAAACAAAGACTTTTTTCAGGAATAACGTGTGCACCTGAACAATGAAAACTTACAATCAAATGAACAGAAGATAATGCAAACGAACGCTGAAACAAAAAGGGTTCAGTAATTTTTAACGCGAGGTCGCCAGCACTTTGTGCAAGAAAAAAGTTTTTGGAAATTTTATCATTGATATTGTTACAATTGATTTATATTTTATATTATAAATATTAAAGTTTTAAAAGACAAAGGAAAATATTTAGAAGTGAAATTAAAAAATGAAAAAGCTATTAAATAATACAGACAGATTTGCGTGACATTAAAACACGTAGCCAAATGTTCAATACAATAATTTCAATACTATGACGCACACCAAAGATCACCTATATAAAAAATGGTGGCCTTTGATTATATTGATGCTACAGCAGCTTCGGGGTATGCACTTATAATTTTTATGATTTTCAAATTTGTTTTTTCAGAAATTAATGTTTAGAAACCATAACTTAAATTAAGTTTAGATCACGCTGAGCAGTAAAACAACAATTTAAAAATGCCAGGTCTAATTTATATTTAAAAAACTTTGCCTTTCAAAAAGAGAATTTTCTTTACTTTTAAATTTAAATTTCACTGGTGAGCGTAAAACGCCATACATTACATAACAACTAGGAAACGTTTAGGTCACACCTACATAAACTTGTATACACATATATAAAAATACTGTTTTCATTATAAACTATTAAACAATTATTTTACCGGTGGTAAGCTAGTAAATATCATAAACTGGGATTATAATATGGGATGTCTGTTGAGTCTGTCGAGTAATTTAAAGTTTAAAACAGATTCTTATTATTTCTCAAATACGTGGTGTAATGTTTTTTAACCGAATTATGATAACGTATGTGAAGTAATAAAAAAAAAAAACATTTTTACAAATGTACATCACATACATGAGATATCAAAGGTAAATTTACATACATAAAACATTAAAACTGAGTAAACTTGTTTTTATTACACATTTAGCAGTAAAACTTCATTTTTACTTTAAAAAATTTTTGTGTTAAAATTAGTGAAATGTTTCTAAAATTATTGCTCAAATGATTTCTTTCAAAAACGGGCGTTGTTTTACAAAGATAAAAAAATTGAGGAGTCACTTGATTTATTGGAAAAGAAAGCAAATTAATAAAATGGGAAAAAGGTTTAACACAACTTATTTTTCTATTGTGTGTAAAAAAAAAATGTCGATTTGAACATTCACGTTATTACTTTTTAGCTATTTTTTTAAATTATTATAACGATTAATAAATTATAAAAATAATAACAAACTTTAAACAACAAAAAATACATTCAGAGGCGATTTTAGTAATGAGTGGGGCGAGGGGGGGCGGGGCGAGGAATCTCTAAAAACTGCCTAATGCTATCTAAAAAAAAAGAGGTCGTCGAAACAAAAAAACTGCCGACTAAAATGTGTTAAATGGCGACTAAACAACAGTATTCCTTGAAAAAAGAGATTATAAGTTTTGATTTTGTTTTTTAGAGGGAGGGGAGGGGGAGGTTACACACCACCATACACACCCCTGTGTTCACTCTGATCATTCATATCACTTTCTAATAAAATGTTTACTTATGAACAAAAAGTAAAAAACTGGATTTTTACGTGGCGGTCGGTGTGAATGCACTATTCTACAATCTCTTAAATGATGTTGTTTTGTTTTGTTAGAGTATATTTTTTTTTTTTCCATTTGTCTATATTTTCCACTTGTCTATATTTTCTATTTTCTATAATTATTTTTTTCTATTTGTCAGACTTTGGCTAGTTTGTCAGATTTAAATTTTTTTGTATATATATCAGAGATAAGAGTTAAAAGTTTGAACAGCCAATTTAATATAAATAACTTTAGAAAAATATGTGAAGTAGTCGCTCGCAGTTCAGCAATAAAAACGATATGAATGAGTTTGAAACGATGAAGAGAGTTTTGTTAATTTTTGTGAATTGCAAAATTATTATTGTTTTAGTCCAAATTGCAAACAAAAAAAAAAAAAAAAAAACTTTAAAAAATAAACACTTTTGACAATATAGCAACTATCGACATTTGCGATAATAAAGATTTAATAACAAGAAGCTACATAAGCTATAGCTTATACCCCAATTAGCCGCTATAGCGGCCAACTGGGATCTGTAATTTAACAATCTTTATATGAATCGCTAACTTGAAAAAAAGGACATGTTATGTGAAATTTTGCAGGACATGTCCCCTTTTTCAAGTTAGCGATTCATATATTAGCTGTAACGTCTTTAAGATTATTGAGTCCTTTCTTTCCAATCGTAGTATAAAAGTTGTCCTCGATGGACAACACTCTTCTTCACATCCTGTAACTTCAGGGGTTCCTCAAGGTTCAATCCTTGGCCCTATACTCTTTTTAATTTACATTAACGATCTTCCAGATATTCTCACATCTAAGGTGGCATTATTCGCTGACGACACTACCATTTACTCTTGTCATGATAAGAAGCCTACACTCTCTGATTGCTTGGAGGGGGTATCTGAGCTTGAAAAGGATCTCACTTCTGCTATAGCATGGGGCTCACAGTGGTTGGTGAACTTTAATTCAGATAAAACTCAATTTTATTCGGCCAATCGTTATCGTAATAATTTAGATCTTCCTATATTTATGAATGGTAATGTACTAGATGAGTCATCTACCATTCATCTTCTAGGATTAACTCTTACTTCTGATCTTTCTTTTAAACCGTATATCAAATCCATTGCAAAATTAGCATCTGCTAAGGTTGCATCTCTTTATCGAGCTCGACACTTTCTTACTCCAGATTCTATTCTCTATCTCTATAAATCTCAAATCCGTCCCTGTATGGAATACTGTTGCCACATCTGGGGCGGATCTTCTAATAATGCTCTTTCTCTTTTAGACAAGGTGCAAAAACGAATTGTAAACATAGTTGGACCCGCTCTTGCAGCCAATCTCCAACCTTTGTCACATCGTCGTAATGTTGCTTCTCTTTCTCTTTTCTACAAATACTATAATGGGCACTGCTCTAAAGAGCTAGCGTCCCTTGTGCCATCTACTAAAATTCACTCTCGTGTTACTCGCCATTCAATTAAGTCTCATCCTTTTTCTGTGACTGTTCCTAAGTGCTTCAAAAACTCTTATTCTTCTAGTTTTTTTCCTCGAACATCAGTTCTTTGGAATTCGCTTCCTTCATCTTGCTTTCCTGATTCATATAATTTGCAATCTTTTAAGTCATCAGTCAATCGTTATCTTGCTCTACAGATTTAGTCTTTTCTCTTCCAGTAACTTCCAACTCTTATAGTGGTTGCTTGCAGCCTTGTTGGAAGTGAAGATGTTAAAAAAAAAAAAAAAAAAAAAAAATATAACATCTACGTTTTAAGATCTAGGTTAGCTACATTTTGTTAGCTATTATACATGGTTAACGACACAGATTTCGAAGTGGAGGGGCTTACTCTTAAGCATTAAAATCTTACAAAAGCTGGTTTTTAATTATTAAATCTATTTTGCGTTGCCAACAATCAGTGAAAAAAAAACTTAGCTGTAAAAATATAAATATATAAATGTATATAAACATTTTTGAAACTTTTATTTTTTAATGTTTTTAATTGCTTTTCCTAATCCAGTAAGTCAGTAATTTTTTTTTCAGTTTACAAGTAGACATACACTAAAAATGTCAGTCAAATTTATTCAAATTAAAGATATAAGATTTATGCGACTGAATATGCAGATTTATGAATATTTATTTTTATTCATGCAAACCTAAACTTATCTCAAGGTAAATCTAAACTAATTAATTTTCTTTATCAATTTTAAATCTCGTTTTAAAGGTGCTCAATCAGGTTACAGAACTTTGTAGAAGACCATTTAGCTATGAGTTTCCTTACCGATGTTGCAAATATGGCCCGAGGAGGTATTGAACCTTGGATCTCTCAAATTCCGAAGCAAGCGCTCTAACTAGCGCACCGTGGCTGCTCTGTAATTTTTTATAACTTGGCATTGTAAGAGGTTAATTGTACACTATGACTAAAAAACAGATCAAAGGTCACTACAAACAATTCAGCATTTTTTGCGATTTAAAATTGATAATTGATCTTGAAGTATATACAGAAAGAATATTAAAAACTTTTAAAAAAATACTTAGTACCGTAAAAACCCCTAATTCCGGATGGTTTAGGACTTAAATTGTCATAACTAGCTCAATATAAAGAAATTATTTGAAATTAATTTTTTTTTAAATAAAATAACTTCATAACAAGACAAATCAAACGATATAAAAAATATTATTTTTGCAATATAAACCCATTGTTTTATTTTATTTTTAAAAATATTGTTTTTATCCGGAATTAGGTGTTTATGTCCCTAATTCCAGATGCGTATAAAATACAGAAAAACACATACACAAATAATACTAACATTAAAATAATTATTTTAATCCATTAAAAAAATGAAATCGTTTAATAAAAAAAGAATATATATTATTTTATACACATTCGTTACAAATAAATTCCATGGTTGGATGATAATTAAAGACACATTCAATGCATGACCAATTTGAACACTGCTCACACGCAAGCCATTGGTTATCTAAGTTATTTGTCCAATTAATTTCGTAAGAATAACATAGAAGATCATCAGATACTAAAATGTTATTTGAAGCTTAAGGAAAGCTTGAGGGTCTTCTGATTGATTCTTTGTCTTTCTACCTTTTTTACCTGGTATTTTAGACGACTGACATTGTCTCAACTTTTTTTTTCTTCTCTGTTCAGTGCATTTTTCGCTTTTTGAGTAGCAGTGGAAATCTATTTTTGTTCTCTAGTAAATTTCTTTGCAGCTTGTTCATCTAATTTTTGTTTTTTTGATGCTTGTTCAGCTTCATCGTAAGCTATGGCATCCGCCGAAGTCATATTATAATTAGCTGGTCGCTTTATTCTCTCACTTTTTTGAACTCTTTTATTTAGAGTTGGTATCAATTGATCTCAAAGCATATTTAACACTAATTTGTTTATATCTTTGCCCACTTGTTGAACAGCATTATTCAAAGTAGCAAAACTTTTAAGCAAAAATTCACGATTTAACATTCTTGACGGAGTGTTAGGTGTATTGGTAGCATTTCCCATAACTAATGGACTAGATACTGTTAAAGAATCAAACAAATTTTCAATATTGTTGTTTTCGACAGCTTGAAACACAGTACCAATGGAAGTTTTTTGGAATGATGTAGTACCAATGGAAGAAGAAATTTGCGAACGATCGAGTGGAAATATACCAGTATTTTTGAAACCATTCCGTGCATTTTCAGGTTTAAACCCACCATTTTGGATGAGATCCTTAAACATGGCCGGGAAATGTCGATTAGTCAGGCTTTGAAAGTGATTTTTAGTTAAATAATTTTCGATAATTCTCTTCCA